AAACTTTTAAAAAAGTATTTTTCTTAATATATTTTAAGTTTTTAAGATAATATTCAAAGAATGTAGAATGAACAAATTAAAAACCGTAATAGCAAAATAAATAAAATAAAAGGAATTAAAGAACAAAAAAGTGGGATAACACAAGATTATAAAAAAATAAAAAAACTGTTACAGAGAGAACTTTATTATTATTATTATTATTATTATTATTATTGGTAAAATCATGCCGAGCAGTAAAGACTGTTGTTGAGTGTTTGGGAATAGACCCCAAAAATCTGAGAAACTAGCCTGGTTGTGTCCCCTATATAATTGTGTAACTGAAAATAAGTAAATAAATATATAAAGACTGAGCAATTAAAATAGCATGTTCTGTCCAGCAGACTTCAGATCGTTACAGCACATTTGTGTTCACATTTCTTTTGATTTGTTTCGCATGCATCTGAGACGTGTGTAATTAGGGTTTAGGCTACACTGTGGCAAACCCCTGAGCGCTTTATTTCAGCGGTGGTATGAAGCAGAAGCTTGGGACAGACGTACAAAATCAAAAGAGAAGCATCAGCAGAGACTGTCACAACCCTGTCTCATTTAATGACAGCATTATTCATGCATTTTGTTATCCAGAGGTTAGTGTCCAAAAGTGCTTAATATGATTCAAACTCCACCCTGTGACTCACTCCGAGACTCGATCATGTTGTTTGGTTGAATGCTGAATGAAGTCTTCTGTTCCAGAGTGCCTTATTACTTCAAAGATGTCTCAGAAAATCTATCAGTACATAACCCAGCATTCACGGTGGCCCCTCTGGACCAGGTCTGGAAAAGGGTCTGTGAGAAGCAGCGATGTCCAGGCTGCAGAGCAGGTCGGGTCAGAATCGTAAATCAGCGGTCTCCTCCAAGATTCGTGACTCAGATATCTGACTTACAGTCATGCCGTGATTTTAAACAACAGGGTTGTGTTGGATGATGCCCCGCTGTGTGTTTTCCTCCTGATCTGCTGATCTGTCTGTGTTAGGGCAGGACATGTCTGGCACGAGTAAAGCCTGGATTTATGAAGACTTTAATGCAGTCCATTGCGTATGTGCCGAAGGCTTGGGAAACGTCTGCTAAAATGGTTACTAACAGACAGACGCTCAGTTGTGGGCTCCAGAGAGTCATTCATGTATTATTTCTACTCGTCCAAATTAATGTTCTGTCAGACCATCAGCATGAAGACTCACTTTAACCGCAGCAACAAACTGTCCCAGCAACCCACACACTCAAACACAAAACCACACACACACACACACACACACACACACACACACACACACACACACACACACACACACACACACAGATGACACTTCATCTGGCATGAGAGGAGCTTCCAGTAGCGTGTCGTGTGCTGATGTTAGAGATGGGAAAGAGAACTCGAGTACTCGGAAATGACAGCAATGACTGATCATGAATATTTCTGTAACATAATTTTTTTTGCTACTTTTCATGCAGACCATATGTGACCCTGGAGCACAAAAGCAGTCTTAAGTCGCTGGGGTATATTTGTAGCAATAGCCAAAAAGACATTGTATGGGTCAAAATTATTGATTTTTCTTTTATGCCAAAAATCATTAGGATATTAAGTAAAGATCATGTTCCATGAAGATATTTTGTAAATTTTCTACCGTAAATACATCAAAACTTAATTTTTGATTAGTAATATGCATTGCTAAGAACTTCATTTGGACAACTTTAAAGGCAATTTTCTCAGTATTTTGATTTTTTTGCACCCTCAGATTCCAGATTTTCAAATAGTTGTATCTCGGCCAAATATTATCCTATCCTAACAAACCATACATCAATGAAAGCTTATTTATTCAGCTTTGAGATGATGTATAAATCTCAATTTCGAAAAATTGACCCTTATGACTGGTTTTGTGCTCCAGGGTCACATATGAGGAAACTAAAATGTGCAAAAATTAGCCTTGTTTTTAATTTCGGGACTGGTCACAGTGACAATTTTGCAGTACGATTGGTTAGACGGAGACAGTGTTCAAATTATGCAATCACGGTAGAATGCTCTAGAGTTTCTTTTTTAAATAATAAATCACAAATAAGAAATAAGAAACACTTAAAATGAGAAAATAAATAATTTACTCCACTTTCCCAGATTTGAAGTTTGTCCAAGGTTTCAATTTGTGATGTTTAGAACCTCTACTGGCCCCACAACTTCATTACACAGGGCAGCTTTGAATAAATGTGACTTTCATATGCAGCATGAGCTTGTGTTTCCAGTCTCCAGTGTTTGCATGAGTATGAATGGAAGTCAATGTCTAGCGTGCCTGTGGCTTTATTTGAGTGCACAAATAATCAAAAGAACCAGATTGGGTCTCTTATAATAATCAATGAAACTGTCTAGAAAATCACTACCGTTCAAAAGTTTGGGGTATGTACAATTTTTTTTTTTTTTTTCTGAAAGAAATCTCTTCTGCTCACCAAGACTGCATTTATTTAATTAAAATACAGTAAACTGTGTTAATATGAAATATCATACAATTTAAAATAAATGTTTTCGATTTTAATATATGTCATATTAGTGAAATAATAAAGAAGTGTGTTAAAGAGCAGATCTGCCCCTCTTCTCCATCGCTGCAGACTCTGCTGTTTATTGAAAACAAATGGAACCTGGACACAATGAGGAAACTAATCAAGCTCAGAGCGGAGGAGCGCGAAACAGAACCGGCCTGTTAAATGGGATGCAGGTGTGGGTATGTGTGTGCAGAATGGAGAGAGAGGAA